GATAGATAGATAGATAGATAGATAGATAGATAGATAGATAGATAGATAGATAGATAGATAGATAGATAGATAGATAGATAGATAGATGGATGGATGGATGGATGGATGGATGGATGGATGGATGGATGGATGGATGGATGGATGGATGGATGGATGCCAGTTGAATAGCCCTGATTTAGAGGTACTAATCACTGACTTTCTCTGCTTTTGATGACAGCGGAGGATTATTGTTTCTTTCAGACATTTACAGTTTTATATTAATCTTATAACAACTGATCGTGTTGACATCGTGTCTGAAAAAACAACAAAATGTATACCGTAATTGTTTTTTTATTATAAAATATACTTTGAATAAATTGGACGTTGTAACACAGTAAAACCCAAATGGTGGACTGCAGTTCGGATCTGGACCAAATTTATTGTAAATTTTCAATTAAATTATTATTGTTTTTAATTTTTACCTGCACATGTTTTCTTCTATTAATGGTCATTTATTTGAGGCAGCTTTTTTTAGCCGTTATAATTTCCTGGAGCTGGCCCCTCGATGGAGGGAAGTCAGCAACCTTCATATGTATGAAACATTAAACAAAATATAACTCAAAATATCTGAGCAGTCATGAATGGGGAACATACATGCTCCAAATGACCTAACCCAGTTTAACAGAGCTACAGAGCCTGAAACAACCACTTTGGAGGAACTTGGAGAATTTTATCTGATGGGGTTGTGACATATAACTCATTTTTAATAAACCCTGCCTCTTCAACAGACTCATGTAGATAATGTAATGTACCTCAGGTCAGTAATGTTTATTTTGCTCTGTGTAATAAAACATTTGTGAGGTGAAATTTCACTTTAGTTTCAAACCTTGATTGTTTTATGACACCAATACATGTGAAAAAAGAAGTTTTGTTGACAATTTGAATATTGTTATTCTGTTCTGAATCTTTGAAAATGAGGCATTTTTCATTATTAGTTTTAATTGTCCCCATAATCCCGTGAAACTATAAGTTCAGACCTATGTGAGATGACTAGACAATAAAAGTGTTTGTATACGCAGACTTTTTCCACAGTCATTTTTAAATAAAGTTCCCCACTAATTACTTTTTTTTTTAAGCCTTTCTGGTTCTAAACATTTATTTTAATTATGAACTTGACCAAGAGTAATGCATAATGGGATTTAAAAAGTTGACAACTAAATACAACTGTGTACGTGCAGTTTGTCATATGTGTGAAACACTGCAAAGTAGTTTTAACTATTTGAAGTCTCCATTTTCCCTCCACAGCAGAAAATGAATCTTCCTGCCATTAAAAACTATTAATAAAATGCTTCCTAATATTCTAAAATGCAAGTAGGAAAACATTTTCCTTTATTTGGATTATGCTTACTGAAATACCTGTTAAAATGCTAGAAGTATTTTAGACATTTGTCTTCTTGTCCTCCTGCTGCAGGATAGATGGCGAGGAGAACCAGTATCGCCTCCATGTGTCTGGTTTCAGGGGGTCACTGGAGGATTCGTTCGGTTGGTATCACGACCAGCACGGTTTCAGCACGCCAGACACGGGAAACATCTGTGCTGAGATCAGCCACTCCGGCTGGTGGTTCCACCAGTGCTTCTACACCAACCTTAATGGAGTTTACTACAAGGTAGACCTGACAGATCTACACATCACCTCCGGGAGGATCATTTGTACTTAGAAAGACTCAGTTACTGTATGTCTGGGAACATTATGGGCTGAGCGTGCATTTGGATCTGAATATATGAGTTGAAATGTTTGCATATAAAAAATAGTATATATATATATATATATATATATATATATACACATACACACCGTAATTTCTGGACTATTGAGTTCACCAGAATATAAGCCGCGATAAATAATTAAAAGAAATATGTAAAAATTTGTACATACACTATATTTTTCTGCTCTTGCTCTCGCTCAAGACGGACGCCTTCTCCTCTCCTGTTCTCCTCCTTTTCCTCCTACATTTGCACTCTGTGTGTCTCAGAGCTCCCGGTACACATCTTCCAAATGAAAAAAATACTATTATGGATTTGGTGAGCTGGACTTTCAACGCAATCGACAAAATATTTTCAACAAAATGAAAGGGTCCTGGAGAGCCCTCATGTCCTGCTGAGACTCACGCTGCAGAATACATCAGGGATCCATGGGGGGTGTGGGAGCTGATGTGTCTTTCAGTTTTGTCTCAGGAGGATGATGAAGACGTTTATATAATTGGATTCATGATAGCAGTGTTTCTGCTTTTTGGCATGGGCGGGTCCCTATGTTTTCAACTTTTAAAGAAGACATCGGCAGCAGTTTCAACCATGGCAAAACTTCAGAGTCTGTGTGAAGGTTTGGTTCGGGCTACG